TTCTTTAATTTATCGTATGTTTAATAAATACAATAATTTTTTATTTAATAATAAAAACTTTGATTCGTTGAATGATCAACATTAAATTTTCAGTAATATACTATAGGGGTGTATATATAAAATTTCTTTACAAAGTGTTTTGGTTATTACAGAATGTTTTTTAGTATTATTTATAACTTTGATTTTAAAATGTAAAGATGATATTGTAAAAATCCCTTTATAGTCACAATTTATATATTGATCAAATTTTTATTAATAAAAAATTCCTCTATAGTCATTATTTATTAACCAATCATTTATTAATCAATCATTTAATTTAATTTTAATATGTATATATTTATTTAATATATATTTATGCATAATTATGCATATATTTATGCATATTTGTGCATATATTTATGCATGTTTATTTATTATATTATAAATATTAATCTATTATCTAGATATATTATTATTCGAATTAGATAGTGATTATAAAGAGATTTTTTTTATTATAATTAATATATATTATGAAAATTATTTAATAGTAATAGTGATTATAAAGGGGATGTGACTATATAGAGATTTTTTTATTAATTAAAAATTCGAGAAAGCAAAATTGGATAATTATAGAGAGATGTGACTATAGAGAGATTTGACTGTATTAGAATTGAGATCTAATTTCTTAGTTACATATTTTTAGCTGTATTAATGATTGTTAATAGTTAATAGTTCTTGACAGCTTTATTTTCAACTAAAATTTGTATTGCTTGTAATCTTTTTAATTTCTTGCTATCTTTTAAAAAATATGTATAATTAAAAAAGTTATTATATTATTCAATTTGTACTTTGTTTTCAATGATAATATATAATATTTTAATTTTTGTAAGACATAGATTTGATGATCAAATTTTAGTTCTTTGTTACATACTCAATTATTTAAATTTAGTAAAACAACAAGTATAAATTTTCTAAAAGTTATTATTTTGATATTTGTTATAACTAAATTATATTCAAATATTAGAAATAAGAAATCATTATTCATTGTTGAAGCTATATATAGGAATTTCAAGTAATAGAATTTGTTATAAAAAACAAAGTTACCAATCAGATTTTTGAAATTTGTTTCTATATTGAGTAGTAGCATTTTGAAATTGAAACATATTGTCAATTTAAGAGTTTTTACACTATATTATTCATAATAGAATTCCAAGTAAACTAAATATTAAAAAAAAATACATTTTTAGTTTTAGTTCAAATAATAAATATTTGATAGTACATGTTGGATATAAAAGTGAGATAAGAAATATACTATTAAATATAATATAAAAGTTTTTAACGTAAAGTTCTTTAAAGTAATATATTGATTTTCTCAAAGCATAATTGATATATAATATGTAAACAAGTGTAATAAATAAATATTATAAAAAATAGTAAGAAATAAATAAAAACTTATATTTTTAATTAAAAGATTTGTTATTGTCAAAATTACAAGAAAACAGCTCTCGTTTCAAAAAAAGTATGTTATTATTAATAATAATTATTTTACTTGTACATTTTGCAGATTTCAATAATATTTTAACATCAAATTTCTTTCGAAATGAAATCAATCACATTATCCCATATCAGATCACATGACTCACAACACTTTAACCACTCCCTAATTTTATTGCATATATTATTATAAGAAATTGTCGATAATCCTGGCCAAATGATCCCATGATTTGCACAATTTTGGTCAAAATTTTCACCATAATTCGTTTTTCATCATGATCACCCACAATTATTGGCTGGATTTAAATCAAATATGGGTATTATCTCCACTTCTTTATTGATGCAGATAAATTAACTTTTTACTGCTTATTTCAAATACTAATATAATCCTGAGTATATACAATAAACCCAATAATTAATGATAACACAAAAATTAAGATAGGTAACTTTAATGATGATGAAGGAGAAGATTCAAATGCTAAGTGCCTCAAAATATCCTCCAAAGTATCAACAAAAGCGGATAACGAGAATAAAGTTTGCACACGCTTTCGTCCCTGTTCGCCCATGATTTTACGATCAAATTCATTACCACCAGATAACAATTTAACAATTGATTGTGAAAAAGCTTCAGGTGTTGGATCGCACAAAAATCCCGTGACTTCATCTAGTATAGACTCTGTTGGTCCACCGCTATTCACAGCTATAACCGGAAGACTGGCATACATCGATTCCACCGGGACGATGCCGAAATGCTCGTTTGATGGAGTATAAAGAAGTAAGATGGCACGTGAAAGAAGAAATGTACGTTGTTCTTCTGAAAAGGAACATAGGAAAACTACTTGAGCATCTGAAGGTGGTGGTGATTGTGCATCTTTTGCTCCACCAACGAGACTTATGGTAAAATTTGAAAGTCCAAGAATGGAAGCTAGTTTTTCCAGTTCTAAATGATACTCGACATTTTCTTTTACACGATAATCGTAGCCTCCTAAAAACAAGAGCAATTCATCATATTGTAAGCCGAATATATTCACACCCAGGAAAAGATCATTTTTTTAAAAATAATGATTCACCGGCTATTATTAATCGTAGATTTTGGAATTCTGTGGTGGACACTAAATGATTATCGCGTAATGCAGCAAAAGCATTGATAGCTAGCGCTATATTCTTTTTTCTCTCGAATCTGTTTATCGAAATTATCAGTTTTTTGTGACTATTTTAATGAGAGCAATTTGTGTAAGTCATAAACTCAGTCTCTCTTAATTCAGAATGAATGAAGTAATTGTATTTCAAACCTCTCTAGAATTTTCACCGACTCATCATTCAAATCTACAGCTTTATCATACGAAGTAAGGTGTATTCCCGGATAAAGTACTTTTGGACGCTGTTTTATTGATGGAAATGAGTCACGAAAAACATTGGCAGTAAATTTACTATTAACTACTATAGCATCTGCCATACCTATAAAATAACATCACTGGTTTAGGAATGATTATTGAATAAAAATACTGAAAATGAATAATAGAGAAGACAAACTAACCAGTCGTCACCTCTTCAAACTTATCAACAGGCATTCTATATAGTTTTTTCAAAACGGATTTACGCCCCGTCAACAATTTATCCGGAAAATGACAATAAAACAGAATCTAACAAAATTCTATTAATTAGAGTTAACAATAGTCATTTTATCTATCCTAAATTGGAGCATTGCTCATAAAAGTTCGAAATTACTCTATTTATTTATTTCATTTACCTTTGCACCAGTAAACTTCAATAGCGGAATACTGGCCGACAACTGGTCAATGAAAATAACATCGATTTTTGGTCTATCCCACAAAAGCAAAGCGAGACCCAAATGAAATTGTCGCAGTATTGCACAAATTATGTAAAATAAACCAAAGAGAGTTCGTGGTATAAGCCAGTTCCCGCGCACATTGACCTTAAGCTGCCCTGGTAATGTACATTTTTATCATACCAGTTATTGAAAGTACTTTGAACTGAGAATGCAAAAACTGTAAGGTAATACTTACCATTTCTAGTTTCTTCGAAACAATGAGTTGGGTCATGGTGCGACGTGTATATACTTACCTTATGTCCTTTATCTTGTAACCCCACTGCTGCGTCGACTACAAGGCGTTCTGCACCACCTTTTTTAAGAAAAAGGTGAGGTTCATATAAAAAAAAAGATAAGTAAGGCGTAAAGAATTTACCTATTCCGAGATCTGGATGCACAAAGACTATATTTAAAGCTCTGGATGTTGTCATTTTATATACACAATACTGATAGTGATAATATTGAGTGATCTACATCAATAGAATCGTCAAAAGTTCGGGCCACGTGATATTTTTTTGATGATATCAGTGATAATAACCAATTAAAATGTTGCAAAATCATACTTTAATTGAACAATATTTTGATATATTTAATTATAAATTGAAGTTAAAAATTTATTATAAAAAAATAAAAGATAATATAATGATATCATATTCCAAATCAAAATTAGTTTTTATAATTTTTTAAATATAGATCACATATTCTTTATGTATTTTTGATCAGATAAAAGAGTTATTATATTTTAACTAGAGATTTTATGTGTTTTTAATATTTTTAAAGGTGAAAGAGATTAATTTACTAAAGATTTTATAACTAATTATTTAAAGATAAGTAATAAAGTGTTTATATGAATAGCTAAAATAATTTTTTTTTAATTCAAGTAGTTTATTATTAAGTAATTTTTTTTTATTGAATAACTTTTAAAAATTAATTATCGTTTTTTTATTAAATTTCTAAATAATTTTGCAAGGTGATGATGAGAGATTAATTAAATTAAATAAAAAATATTACTTATTACAAATGAGAAATCTTTTAATAAAAAAATACAAATAAGAATAATTAAATTATTAGATAATTAATTAACTCATTAATTTAATTAACTTGTTAATTTCTTATCTAATTCTTTTTTCTAGCTAAGATATATATTATATTTATACAAGTTATCTGTTATTTAATTATCAAAATCTAAAACTAAATTTAATTAATATTATTATTATATGAAAAGTGCTTGCTCACTTAATTATTATATAGTCAAAACTCTTTATAGTCATATATATTTATAGTCACACCTCTTTATAATCACTCTATTTTGCTTTTTTATTTATATATAAATATAGTAAAAAAAATCTTTTTATAATCACATTCTCTCTATAGTCACCAAAATTTGCTTTCCTGAGAGTGGTAATTATAGAGAGATTTGACTATATATTACTTGCTTTAATGTTACATATAATTTATAATGAATATTAATTAAATTAGATAATATTAATCAATTAATATATGTTTTTCATATTAATAATAATAATATGAAAATAATATGAATATTATAAAATATAAATAAATAATATAAAATATAAATGAATAATATAAAATAAATATGAAATAATATGAAATAAATTAAGAATAGTATGAATGAAATAAGAATAGTATGAAATAAAAAAAGATATGATTTATAAATTATATATAAATTAACTATTTAATTAAATAAAGTATAATAGATTATATGATATATTAAAATTCATATCACAATAGATCTCTTGAAGTTAAAAATTTTACTTTATAAAAATAAAAGAATAAATATAATAAAATACAGTGAAAGCTTTCTATACCGGCGCTGTATATAACAAAGTCGGCCTTTACCGATGCAAAATTAGGGAATTGATTTTTAATAAGAAAAAAATACCTGATATACCAAAATTTATTAATAAAGCACTGTATACCGGTTCTGGCGAAATTTTTTTTTTCTAATGTCCCAAATGCTATTTACTATATTCGGTGTACTGGTGAACTGATAATGACCCATTGTGTTACTTGTTAATTGCCTAATTTATTCTCTTATTCGTATTTATTGAGGCTATGTTTCATTTGAAATATTTTTTCAAACTTTGCTACTTTCGCACAATGTCTACCTAGTTATTCAAATGGCATTATCCTAGTTCACGCTACGTCATCTTAATTGGTAAGTAAAAAGAGCTCATGCTTTTTATTTCTCGTATCTTTTAAAACTAATATTAAAATGCCACCTATAAGACAAAGGTGTCAATTAACTGCACTTCAAAAAAAAGAAATTTGTCTTCAAAAAAAACAAAAACCCGTACCTAAAAACTGTGAGCTTGCTGTTGAGTTCAAATGTGATGAATCTACCATTTCAGATGTTTTGAAACAATCAGAAAAATGGTTAGCTATAGTACCTGACTCTCAAGATGCGAATACCATCAAAAATCGTGGACCCAAATGGCTCCAACATGATATGGCACTCATTATCTGGGTACAAAATGTTATGTTGAGCAACCAAGATTTAACAGGTGACATTATTAAAACAAAGGTCAAATATTTTGCCAAACATCTTCAAATTAATGATTTCAAAGCATCAGATGGTTGGCTAAATCGATTCAAAGAACGACATCATATTCATCAGTATACTAAGCAAGGGGAGGCTGCCAGTGCATCATCTGCTGAATTATTAGCTCAAGATAGATGTAAACTCCAAGAAATTCTCTGACCATACAAATCTGAAGACATCTTTAATGCTGACGAAACTGGACTTTTTTTCAAGATGGTACCTAACAAAACTCTTGCACAAGGATCC